AACATTTCTAGTAAAGTAGGCATGACCACTGACCTGGAAAATACACACTGGAGAAACAGCCATTTTTTTCTGTTTCTTTTCTCTGAGTTTCTCTTTCAGGAACAAGGAATAGATGACTTGCTGACCTTTCATATAAGGGGTCAAAAAGAAAAGGAAATAATTAATACTGAAAGCTGTAGCACAAATTCTAGTTGGTCTTTTAATACAAACCCAAAGTCTGATATCAGGGGGAAAGCTCATAGATCAGAGAAGCAACACAGACAGCTGCTAGTTCTTAAATCTGTAAGATTCTCCAACTGAAAGAGAGCTGGGCTCCTGTCTCCTTCCACCTTCTATTCCTTTCTGTGCCCATCCATATGACTTCTTTTCCCAAACTCCTTAGCACAGGGTTTAAAGGCATGTGTGTCTCCCCAGCACTGGGAACAAAAACATTAGATGCCAAGTGCTGGGATTAAAGGAGTGTGCCACCACTGCCTGGCTCAGTTTCTCTTTTAAACTGGATCAGTCTTGTGTAGCCCAGGGTGACCTTGAATTTGCAGAGATCTGTCTACCTCTGCCTCTGCCTCTGCCTCCAGAGTACTGGGATTAAAGGTGTGTGGCACCACTGCCTGGATTCTTTGACTAACTAGTGGCTGGCATTGTTTGCCCTCTGATCTTCAGGCAAGCTTTATTTGTAAGAGAATACACAAACTATGACCACAGAAAGCTGTTAGAAAACAATATCAAACCACAGGAAAAAATCCAAGCAACAAACTATGACCAGGTGTCCAGACAATGTTCCCAAATACAGAAGAGAATGGAATGATATTTCAAGCTTGAAAGAAAATTGCTCTCAACCCTATTTTTGTCTTAAGAAAAAAATTATCTTAAAGGTGATAGAGACCTAAGTGCATTTGAAGATAGCCTTGAGATAACATAATTGATTTCACTAAAGCAGCTTTGCTGACAATAACTAGAGGCAAAATTTATTCAGGACTATCAGAAGAATTAACCATGTAAATACAGGAAATAATAATTCTATGTGGTGACTACATAAATACAGGAGAACTTGGAAGTAATCATCCATGGGCAAGACAACAAATCACCAATTCTCACACAGAAGAAAGAAAAATATGTTGTAAGATTCTTAAAATGGTTTTATAATAAAAAACCTGAAACAAAATATTGGGTTAAAGGCTGAAACATCAGAGAAGCAGAGAAGCCAGTCATGACCTCTTACCTCACCAATTCCTCAGCCTGAAAGACCTCAGCCAAGAGGCCTCAAGCTGAATGAGCTTCCTCAGCTGAAAAGGTCTCAGCCCAAACGCCTTTAGTTCCTATCTCCTCAAGCCTTATATACCATTTTATCTGCCCAGTCATTAGTTCCTGGGATTAAAGGGTGTGTGCTTACCAGTACTGGGATTAAAGGTGTGTGCCACCACTGCCTGGCTCTGTTTTTCTCTCCTACACTGAGTCAATCTAATGTATTCCAGGGTGGCAGGAATGGATCTCTGACTCCTGACTCCTAGGAGTAAGGTGTGTGCCACAACTACGTGAACTCTATGTCTGATCTAGTAGCTTGTTCTGTCCTCTCATCTTCAGGCAAATTTTATTAGGGTACACAACACATCACCACACAAAAGCCACAATATTCTTACCTAGATAACAATATAAAAGAAATCTAAGTGAATGACAATGCCATGATCAAAAATCTAGCCATTCTGGAAGTCAATATGGAGACTACTCAATTGAATCCAGAATTTAAATAAACCTAGCACTGTACTGCTCTGACCACTAGATGGTGGTCTTGTCATTTTACTAACTGAGAAACAAGTTTGCCTTCTGTGACTCATAGCAAGCTGATTAGACTCACTGGAACATGAACACACACACAAACACACACACATACATATGCACACGCACACGCACACAAAACCCACATTTCCCTGATGGGTTCAGAGACTCTTGCTGTGCCAGAAATAGAAAGTAAATAAGGTATGTGGTTCCTGTCCTAAAAATGTCAGCTACACCTTCCATCTATGTTTCAGAAACAATGAGGAAGAGGAGAAGGAAAGGGAATAAGAAGGGAGAGAGGAGGAAAGGCTAAGACATGCCATTCTCTAGACTCCACACAGCTGTTGTAATCAGTGACCAACACTAACTGCACTGACGTGCATGGACCTCACACAAGACCACAATAAGACTAGGAAAGGGAAAGGGTCACAGAGCCCACTCTTTACCTTTCAAATGTTGGCTATAGATAGAGTGTAGGAGAAGAATCTCTGCCTTTAGCTGTAGTCCTCTCCTGAGCCAACCAGACTCCGACCCATAGCTCTAAAACAACATTCTCACAGATAGCCCTGGATAATCTCAGGGGATCCCAAGCAAAATTAATAGAGATGAACCCTCTAGAGACTTGGTTGGAATTGAGGACCAGGATAGCAGATAGGTAGGTGTAGCAGGAATTAAAAGAGTCACATTAATAAAATTAAACCCGAGGCCAGTTATTGGGGTCAATGCTGGTAAATCAGAGAGACAGAACAAGCCACAGCTATCTCACCTTTCCAATACCTCAGCTAGTCCTGTTTTCTCAGACTGGAAGCCTCTGAGTCCTCATCCAGAATGAATCTCAGCTGAACTGTGTTGCTCCAAAGCCTGAAAGCTTAACCAACCAAATGCTTAACTAGGCCAAATGCCTCTAGTTTCTGGTCCTCACGCCTTATATAGCTTTCTGCTTTCTACCACCACTCCCTAGGGTTAAAGACTTGCTTTCTGGGATTAAAGGCATGATGAGGCGCCATGCCTGTCTGTATCCTTGAACACAGGGATTTCTGCCTCTGGAATGCTAGGATTAAAGGTGTGTGCTACCACTGCCTATCCTCTATGTTTAATACTGTGAGTGTTCTGTGTCTGACCCCAGATACGTTTATTAGCATGCACAATATTTGGGGGAATTCAGCACCACAGGTAGGAGTTGAGAGTGGACAGTGTGCATGCTCAGACATGTGTGCATGCTCAGACACACACACAGAGTGTATATGTACACATAAGTATTTGAGTGTGAAACAGTTATTATTAAAAAATATCCTGGTTTTTGAATCAGGGTTTCTCTATGTAACACTGGCAGTTCTGGAATTTGCTTATTAGATCAGGCTGGACCAAATTCCCAGAGATCTGCCTACCTCTGTATTGAGTGTTTTGGGATTAATGGTGTGCACCACCCTACCCTTCTCAAATATTTATTTTAAATGACCATATCAGTCAGTACATTCTTTTTCATTGTATAATTATCCTTTTTTTTGTTTTGTTTTGTTTTGTTTTGGTTTTGGTTTTTTGAGACTGAGTTTGCCTGAGCAACAACCCTGGCTGTTCTGGAAGTCCCTTTATAGAAAAGGATGAACTGGAAGTCACTGAAATTGACCTACCTCTGCTCTGGCATGCTGGGATTAGAGGAGTGTGCCACCATACCCTGCACATTATCTGGTTTAATATCAGGTAAAAATAAGTGTCAAGGGGAATCTCCTCTTTTGTGTGTCAAGAAAATATTGTTTGTTTGTTTTTTGTTTTTTAGTTGATATATTTTGTTTTGTTTTGAAAATGGGTTTTATGTTATAGTCCTGACTGTCATGGGATTATGAACACCAGTCTATCTTTGAGCTCATAGAGCTATGCCTGCCTCTGCTTCTGGTGTGCTAGTATTAAAGGTGTGTGCCACTGTTAAGAAGTATTTCAAGTAACTTTGATGTTAGATTTTCTCTGAGTTCTGATGGAATCCTGTCAATCTTTTCAAGGGGTAGTTT